AAAAAAAAAAGGATAAGCCTTTCCCCCTGTTTCTTGTCTCGAGACATGACAGTATTGATGGAGCCGAAGCTTACAAAGTTAAAGGTCACAGGAATGGAGAACGGGAAGCCAGATGTGGATTCGTTTTGACAGGTGTTTAGGAAAAAAACGGCTTTGAGCCGTTCAGCCTGCCTGCACGGTTCAATGAAATAATATACAGTTCCCAAAAAGATTTTGACATATAAACCAAATTCTAACATTTATGAATTTAGATAAGATTAACCTTATTTTAAAGAAACAAATAGGAGTGAATCTAATTAAGTAAGGGTATACCACTTGTTAAGAAATGTTCTACTAGTCTCTTGAGAGGCAGCTGAGGACCGCCACAACAGCGACCCGGTCAGCCTGCCCAATGGAAAATGGGAGATTAGGAGCAACTGAACTTTCAAAATAAGAGCAAGGGGATTTTCCACTAATAAAGCCACTGCATTATTCCCACCAATTATGAAAAAATGGCATTAAATTGCAGGATGTGTAGTACCAGTCAAAAGCTTCACCGTTCAAGCGAAGTCTGTCGGGAAACACTGCACCCACCTACTGGCTTCACTACAGATCAGTTATTTAGAATATTGTCCTCTGTAATTTATCGTCCTTTAGCTTTTAGAAGCCTGACCCTGACTTTAGCCTGAAGTCAACCAGTTTCTGTAAAAAGCTGTTTCTTTCAAAGTAGAGTTTTTCTTTTATCCAAACTCCACCCAACAGGTACTTTTGAAGTCAACTCTCTGTGTGATACTTTTTGTTTTCATCTTGATTTCATTATCCTCTTCAAAAGATCCACCTTTGTTGTATAATTCATTGTTTGGTGAGTTCTTTAAGTAACACTCCTGTAAGAAGATCAGTTGTCAGTTCTCTGTTTTTATTTGTAGCAGCCTTCTTGCTGCCTCTGAAGCAGCCCACCAGCAGGAGGAGGGCGAGGAGGATGCCACCCTGCCTTGCACAGAGGACGTCATCTGTAAGACGGAGCAGATCACTAAGAACATCCAGGAGCTTCTGAGAGCTGCCCAGGAGACCAAACATGAAAGGTATTGAGCAGTTATATGAATAACATGTAATGTGATATTTATACAAAATGAGCCAAGTTATATTTCAAAAACATCTGAAATTTCTAGCTATTCAAAATAAAATCTTTTCACCCGATGCACTGTGAACCTCAGTTTTTCCACCGTCTGGCTCAGATTTCGTGCTTGTATTTCTGTCATTCTGCCTGATTTGTTTAAGAGCTGACTTTGCCCAGGTGCTTTTAGGTCAGTGGTTTTTTTAAAAGTTGTGTATAGGGCCTTGGCCTGGATGATGCCAGCTTGCATCCTAAGGAACTAAAAGTCTCCTTATTTTCACCTGAGTTGCAGAGTGAATACAGTTATTCACATATTGGTGAAAACCAAGCAGCACTCTGATTTCCAGCCCTGTTTAGGATCCCTCTGTGTGAGTCTACCAAGTTTGGGTCTTAGGTCTGTCAATGCACCTAACAGGAAACAAAC